GGGGATATAGGGTATGTTGAGGGATGTGTGTATATGTGGGAAGGTTGTGGTGGCAGGATGTGGGTGTGTGGGGTATGAGGGAAGGTGGGGTGGGTATAGGGACCTGCTATGCACTCCCAACCATGGTGCACAGCCCCCATTACCAGCAGCAGCAGGAAGTAGCTCCTGGGGGACTCATGGCCCATGCAGGCATTGCTGCCCAGCAGCACACAGCTCCTGCCAGTGCTGCACATGGCAGCAGAGAGCACAGCCAGGCCATCCTGACTATCATGCAGGGCTCCCCACGGTGCATGGGCAGCTGCTGGCACACACGCACCACTGAGAGGAAGCCCTGCGCAACACAGCTGGCTGCCTTTCCCATTCCCTGCTGCCATGGAAGCAGGGGGTGGGGCTCCCTGCCACTTCCAGCAGTGTCCTGGGAGCTGCACATGGCAGCTGGCAGTAGAGAAGGTAGCCAGCTCCAGTGTGCAGGGCTTCCCTCGGTGGCATGCAAGTGCTGGGAGCTGCACATGCACAGCCCACGATAGAGGTGGGCTGGCCTGGCTGTGCTTCTTACTGCCATGTGCAGCACTGGCTAGAGCTGCATGCCACCGGGCGACAGCACCTAAGCAGGCCATGAGTGCCCCAAGGGCCCCCACCTCCTGCTGCTGCTGCCGCCACCAGTAGCAGGGGCTGTGCACCATGGGGCATATGGGGGGGTACCCACACCTCGTCCTCTCCCTCCCACCTACACCCTACCCACTTGAGCTCCTCACTCCCACCACTGTGGATGGTGTTCTGTTGCCACAACAGGAAGTAGATGGAGCCTTACTGAGTATGGAGAGGTCAGTGCCTAAAAATGCAGCTCTTGAGCAACCTCTTTAATATAACAAAATGTAACATATGTGCCCATGTCTCCAGTCAGCAAAGTTTGATGTAAACTTTTAAATAGAACAAGCCCATCTGTCACTGTTCATGTCACTTTATAAAGTGACAGGCAGCAGCAGCCAAGGAGGGACTCTTTGATGCAAGAAAAACCACAAAGGAAAGATCTCCTATCTTTCGTTTTATTGCTGCCTGCAGGATCATGGCGATCAACTCAGTTGATTCCCAGGGCTTCAGGACTTTGTGACATGTTTAAAACAAGCCAAAATTATTATTTGTTTAAATAGACTTCAGAGATATGTTAATTGAAATGGTCAGAAACCAGATTAGGGCAATGGGAATCAACTGGTTGAATCCCGAGTCCTTGCCAGTCCTTACCTTAGGAGCTACTATTAATTAATCTGATTCAAAAGACCTTGAAAAAAAGAGGTGTTTTCCACATAGCCACAAAGACTGTAAAAAGACAAGATGTCAAATAAGCTTTAAGGGCTGGACAAACTCATATGTGTCTGTCTCCCTCTGATTCCCACCCCCAAAATCCACTTTTTAAGCTTTCCTTTATCATACAAATATGGAGGCAGGGACCATGCACACAAATGTCTACTCCTTTTATTCAAGTGAAATTTCCCCTAATTTCAATAGCAGTTTTGCTTGATTGATTTAAGGTTTCATAATTGGCCTCAAAGAACTACAGGTTGTACAGCTGTACAGATTTGGGCCCTCAGCATGTCTTGGTAGGCTGGGGCAGAAAGCAGAGTATTAATGGCATGAAGCTTTCCAGAAATCCCTACTAGTGCAGCAGCCTTTAAAATCTTATTCCAGCTGGCATTATAGAGACAGGTAGTTCTTAAATTAAACCTGGGGCCAATTTAACCTCAGGTCTGTCCCAGGAACACAAGACTGGACAAGTGGTTGAAAGCCATCTTTCCCCCCTCACCCTCAGCCCTTGGTGGCCCAAGGATTTAGCTGAGGATCTGTACAGGAGAACTAGTCATTCAGCACCGAGCAATACATCCTGCTGTTTACGCTCCTCTGTAAAAGCCTGGAAATGGTTAATGCCATGTGCATTGTCACAAGGGATGGATGAACCCCAGCCTCATCTCCTGAGGGAGACCAAAGTTTCTACAAGACTCAGTGGCTCACCGAGCTCCTGCTGTGGTGGTGCTGTTCTACTGCAACCTCCAGCACACCCCAGAGCCTCAAAGGCACAATAGAGCCTCAAAATAGAAATGAAAGCTGCCTTCATGAAAGGCAGGGACCTTTTCCACAGCCGAGCCAATTGTCTACTGTGCAAATACCACATGTTCAAAAAGAGCAAACCTTACAACGCTCCAGCTAGATTCTTAATGTTTTGTATTTTCCTCAGCAAAAAAAAAAAAAAAAAATTCTCCGCATGAAGAAATGAGACCTGTGCTTTTGTCCACTCTTCCTTTGATGGTCTGATTCAAAGCCAACTTGAACAGATCAATAGTAACGGAAGGTCTTGTAGACGGCAGTCGGTGCTTGATTCTTACAGGGGGAGGAGGAAGTTATCAAGACTTAAACTGCTATTTGTGCCACTTTTAACAATATCACCTTGACAATGTGAGCTGCTGCTCATGTAGAGCACAGCTGGTAGATTCAGAAGGAATGAAAGAATATCTCTGTTCCCTGCACCCAGTCACTACAGACAGGAGGGCACCAAGGCCCCTCAGGACTTTTCTCACATCCTGCACATCAGTAGCAGAGGCTACACAGCTGCCACTCCACACTCAGGCCTGTCCTAACCCCTGCAACCCATGGGAGGCTCCTTCCCTCGCCTCCTCCTCCTCACCACCATGAGACATCCTTTTAATGAGTGTCCAAAGTCCTAGTTTTTTTATTCATCCCAGTTCCCAGGATAGATGGGAGTTGCAAGCAGAGCAGCAATGCTTGCTGGGGAATGGGGAAGATCTGTACCTTTCCTTTCTCCTAGTGAGCAAGACCAGCAAGTTCTGCGGTGGGCCTTCTTTGATAAAAAGGACCCATGTCCTAAAAAGGAGAAGGATCAGCATGTTGATCCCTTCACTGAAGGAATAGAAATAGCTCAGGGATCCCTCTGCAAAGGGAATCAGACAGAGAATCTGCCAAGTCCTGGAAACCTCCCCAGTACCTCTGTATTTTGTCTCTGTTGATTTTGCTGCAATCCCCATTTTCCTATGTGCACTGCACCTGCTTGCTGTGGATGGGCTGATCTCATTTGTGCTGTCTTCATTGTCATACCATCAGAGACAAAACAAAGCAATTGGTTACGGACGGAGGGAAAACTTCACTGATCCATGTGGGCATAACCAATACCCTTCATTTAAAATAACAGTAAGAAGTCATTAATCTCCTTTATGCAACAAGTTATCTGAAGCAATGAGGACCACCCTCCTCCCCCAGATATAGACAAAGACAGAGAGAAAGGGGGAAAACATCAGAGAAATAGGAAGCAACAGAAAACTGCAGAGTCAAAAAACAGGCACTGGGAATATTGGCCCGAGCAAAACTTCAAGGATGCATTTGGGTTATGCCATGGCACAATGCGTCACCTCCTCAACCCCTCCTTCTCTTGCAATATGCTGCTGTTTGCTTCACATGGTGATCAGGAAAATGGAATTTTATATGTTCCTTAAATAGGACAGAACCTAAAGAGATGTCTGACTTCAACATGAATTCCTTCTCCTAACAGAAATTACCCCAAGCTTTGCTGAATTGCTAAAGGTTATGAAAAGCAATAACAGTTCTTTTCCTTTCCCTATGAGAATTCTCTGACTGTATTTCCATTACTTTCTTGTTGGCACCTTGCATCCTGACTGGCTCAGATTTCCTGTAAGAGTTAGCAAATGAACTGGGTCAAACACTTCCCGCATGGTTCTAGCTCCACTTCTTTGCCATCCTGCTACCTTTCCCCCTCACCCTTCTGCTTGAGCAAGCGCTTGTTCATGTTCATCATTTTCTAGGTGCAAAATAAAGCATGAACAGCACGTTACTTGTACTGGAGAAGGATCAGCACCCCTCCATCTGGCAGCTGGAAGGGAATGAAAAGGAAAAGCTTGGAAGAATGTTAAGAATAATTTTAGGAAGATTTGTTTAATTTGCATGCATTAGACCTCATTGGTATTCACCATTAACTAACATGGACTGCCATGGTCAACCCCTAATTTACATGTAACACTGTTGCCAGTTTGCAGTTATAAATATTAAATACCGCATTTGGTAGTTAGAGTGCATTAGTATTAATAATTGTTTATGCCTAGATATTTGCACAGTGTGCTTGCCTAATGCTTCAGACAAAAAGATGCATCTTATTACAGCACTGCACAGGATGTCTAGAAATGCTATGGTCTTAAATTCTTTTTCTTTGCAGCTACACATTCTGCCTCTGCTGCCCTCCCTCACATAGCTCATGGGCTGTTAGCCCGCCACCAAGTCTCACTATAGTCCCTTCCTCAGTCCCTCCCTCAGCTGGAGAGACAAATGCACATCTCACACCCCTGAGTAGAAAGCTGCCACACATGGAAGGAGAACAATTCAATTAAACAGTAGGGGTCCAGAAGGATGGGACATGTAGAAAAGATTCTTGGCCCAAAACTTGCATAAAAGCCAAATGTTTAGCAGACTCTTAGCAACAAGTGTGACCAAACTGTGGTATGAACGACACAAGTAGCACAGGCAGTTTCCATGTGTGGTGCTTGGCAGATCAGAAAGAGCGCAGGGAGCACAGTGAAAGAAAGGTTAAGGAACAGAAAGCAGAGCAGCAGAATGAGCAGGGAGCACAAAGCAGTGAGCAGGAATTTCTGTTTGGCACATGCATTACATGCACTGTTCCTACCACTGTATATTGTTCATAAAAGGCTCAGTCTCACTAGGAGCTGAGTCCCAAGCCCTTCCCAGTGATGTTAGAGGGACTTCTTACATGTTTTAAGCATATGCTGGTCTGTGCTTAAATTTCTGCTGGTCACAAGCATACATGGTACCATGCAGGACAAAGTTCTAGGTAAGTGTGCATCACAAGTTAATACCAAGATGCTATAATACAGTTGGAACACATTGTGACCAACTGGGAAACAGCTACTCAGGGGACTAACCAATTCGTGGCACCCTTAGATACCAATTTGCATATGAATTTATGGCAACTCTGCATACCACGGTTGCTTCTGTCCCTGGATGCAAGGCTTCTCATTACAAAAGTTAGCTCTCAATGACTAATAAAACAATTAATCAAGAGAAAGAACCATGAATAGACTGGACAATATCCCATCAGTTAAATTTTAAACATTTCAGCTCAACCCCAGTCTACCCTACGTGACGGCACCCACAGCTGTCAGTTTCCTTTCAGTATCTTTCCGTCATGTCCCTGTATAATACAAAGAAATCTTTCGTGGATGCCCTATAACTAGGCCAGAAAACCAGAGGAATGGAGTCATTATTGCCAAGGAGCTGTCTGGAAGAATTTCTCTCTATGGAAACTTTAAAGATCTGCTGCTTATTACTTTTCACTTGCCCTTTTCACACTATCTCCAGTATGAAGAAAATCCTTGACCTAAAGTTCAAAGAAGTCAAGCTTCCTCTTAGTTACAGTTGCTTTAACTTATTCAGGTAATTTCCCACATGTGGTATTTTCCTGGTCTGATGTTAAATACACTGAATTGAGAAAAGACATGTTCCCCTGAAAACATTACCTCCCATATGTTTCTACCCTTTTCTAGAAAAGAAACTGAACATCTCTCTCCTAGCTATTTTTGTCCGTATATGTGCTGAGTGCATCTGCATCATGTCATGTGGGCTTCACTCCTAAGTTTCAAAACCTGAAACAGAACTTGGGTGAAACCACTCTTTTTGATAAAGCCACAATTTTCCTCATAGCTTACACCAAAAAACATCAGTTTCTACTGTGTCCTCAAACCTGACTGGAAAAAAAAACAAAACAGCAATACAATTTTGCAGTTCACTAGTAGCTGCTAGTCACTTTTAGGTGGTTGAATTGGTTCTCACTGAATTTTCAAAACAAAGTGTTTTTGTTACATTCACATTCACACACACTAGGATTTTAATATTAAGTTTTGAATCTCTCCCCCACCCCTTCTCTTTCACACACTAAACATCTATATCCATATCTATATAATGCATCCATTTTATACCAGCTGGGAATAAGGATTGAGAGAAAAATAGAACGTTCCCCTATCTTTTTGAAGAAAAGACTAAATACTTACCATCCTTAGAATTTTTTTTCTTCCATAATTGTGATTTATTTAACCAAACATTGTTTTTTAATTAAAAATGAAGAAAATTTTGACCAAGTCTTTTTTCAATTTTTCTTTTGCCAAATTCAGTTATAATACCCCCTAATTCATTACAGCCTCCTGTCTTGAGTGTTTCTTATTTTGCTTACATTTTGAACAATAATGCTCTTTTCAACCTGCCAAGCCTGAAAATATAGGAACCAGCACTGGGAAGAGAAAAGAAATAGTAGATAAAAATGATAGATGACAGTCTGGACCTAGATTTAGTGCTTTTCTCAGTGGTGGCAGGTGGCAGATCAAGGAGCAATGGTCTCAAGTTGTAACAAGGGAAGTTTAGGTTGGATATTGGGAAAAACTCTCTCACTAGGAGAGTAGTAAAACACTGGAATGGATTCCACCTAGCAGGGCCATCCTTGGAGGAAGCAGTGGGGGGGCGTGCACAAATTGGTGTGACCGCCCTGGGCTCCACACTTTGGGGGGACCCTGTGGAGCCAGGCAGAGTGGCCACGGTGACTCCACGCTGCTGCTGGCTTCACATCCAGCCACTCAACACCCACCACCCCACTGCCGAATCCACCACCTCTGGCCACTTGGCAACCTCACTGCCAAATCTGCTGCCGGCTTCCTCATGTCTGGGGGCGGGGCCCAGCACCTGGCTCGGGTCGCCTTTGCCATCTAGATAGGAGGTGGAATCTCTATCCGTGGAGGTTTTTCAGGCATGGCTTGACAAGGCCCTGGCTGGAATGATCTAGTTGGAGATGGTCCTGCTTTGAGCACGGGCTTGGACTAGATGACCTCCTAGCGTCCTTTCCAACCCTAATTTCCTATGATTCTTTGAAAAGAAAAAATAATCCCATGGGAAGTTTAAATGTTTATGTAAAACAGATTTCTTTAGCATAAGCACGAGTTTACAAGACCCTCACCATTATGTTTTAGCAAACATGTAAAAGATGGAAAATGTAAAATGGTGAGATTGTGGCTTTCAGTCATAGCTCTGCACATAACTGAACCAGCCATGAGGCAGATCAGGAAAGAATTAATTTGAAAACAGACAGAATTTATTTCCCATTCTACATCAGTTCTATACTGGAATGAAACTCAAGAAATTCTGTAGTTTCCCACCAAATGGATTTTTTTGGGGGGGCGGGGGGGGGAAGAGCAGGGTACTTCATCTCAGGCCAACAAAAATATTGTTTCAATAAATTTGTAAAGTTCTGTTCCGATTTCAACCTACTCCTTATTTAAAATGATAATGTTTAATGTGAAAAAAATTTCAATGTGAAAGGTAGTTTTGAAATTTAAAAAAAAATCAGAACATTTAATTTCAATCAAGCATGTTAATAAAATCAAAAGCATTTTGACAAGTTTAAAATAAAGTTTCATCACAAATCAATACACATCCATGTCAGAAAGTTTCAGTTTGATGCCTCAGCATTTCCTAGTAAAAAAAATTTCTACTAGAAAATTTTCAACCAATCCTAGAATTAGATCATTCCTTTCAGCATGCCTCTAAGGAGAAGTAATTTACAGTAGCACAGAAAATGGCTCAGTTTATCTCTGTGGCCCCACCCACCACCTAGTTCTTTCCCAATTGCTCTCACAGATGGATACAGCCATTTCCAAGCCCCGACACTCATCCCAGGAGCCAGAAAAAGAGACTGCAATAGCTTTCATGTGGCAGTTGTTGGAAACTGCACAGCTAAACTAGGCCTGGAAACAACCTAATCCCTCAACAGCAAGAGAACAGCTAGTCTGCATTATGATGAGTTAATTCAGGGCTGTCCAGTTTCTTAGTAGCTGGGGGGCCAGACCAACAGAGCCACACCCACTGCCCCCCTCCCCAGCTGCAAGGTACCCCCACACTGCAAAGGCAGGTGGCTCCCAACCAACCACTATACAGTGCATGCAGGTTGAGCCTCCACCCCATACCATGCAGACAGGTGGGCAGAACTGTCTGCCCCCCCTTGGCTATCAGCTCCCCTAGCACTGCAGGCTATATTGAGCCATGCCACCCTACCTTGCTCTGCCCCTTCAGGTGCAGGCGGAAAGTGAAATCCAGATGATGCAAGAGGTCTGGAGACCCCAGCAACAGCAACAGCTGGGGCAATGAGGGGAGCAGCAGATTGGGCAGGGGCTGTAGATTAACCTCTCACCATCCACATGCAGCCTGTGGCCCACCAGCTGGGCAGCCCAGGATGGAAGCACTCAGGGTTAATTAACATTTGTAGAGCGATTTGAATACAAGAAATGCTACATAAATTCTACCAATGTAACGGAAGACAGTATGAAAATGATAGTTAAACCCCTGTGACTGTTTCCATCTTGGGTCCATGTTTTCAATCTCTCATAAATTTCACCATTTGGGCTAAAAATTTTTGTGCTGGGGACCAAATCACAGCCATCTTGCTCCTGTGAGGTGACTTCATATGGGCTATGTAGAGTCGAATGAATTTCTTCCCAGTTTTCTTCCCAAGGACAAATTGTTTTGAAAGGTTTCAACCAGAATTATTGGGCTACATTTGCTGTGTTCGTTGTATCATTTGCTGTAATGATTTGTAAACATTTAGGTTTAAAAATCAGACATGGCATGTTTAGAACTAAAGACAATTAAGAGAAGACCAGAGAAAATACAACAATTCAGTTCAAAGCCTCCTCTACCATAGCAATGCAAAAGCAGCCTGCAGTTAAATTTCAAGGTCATACGCAACTTGTATCAGATCCATAATTGAAATTAAAATTAAAATTAAACCAAAGCCATCCTTAAAATAAAGTGAAAGAACAGGTTCAATGGGTAAATTAAGTTTTTT